TATTTTTTATTTGTTATTTTTATCTTGCACCAGGAGCTATGTTTTTGGAATCAGAACAACGGAATCTATATCCGACATTTTTTTGGGATTTTTTGCCAACATTTTCAAATCCAAAATTTTTCAATATGAAAATTTAGGTAAATTTTCGACAATTTTCGAAATTTAACTAAACACATTTTCTTACAAATTTCAACCTCCAGAAGTTGGTTTCAGACATACATATTTCTTCGATAGCTCCTATTGTTTTGCCAGGATCCTGTGAAATATTGCAATTTTTTTTGAACTTTAAAAACAAATTATTTTCAGATCGAATAAATTTTAATCTTGCACCAGAAGCATAAAAACGCAATATTTTTGGAATTAGAACAAGGAAATCTATATCCCCGACTTTTTTGGGAACTTTTTGCCAAGATTTTCAAATGCAAAATTTTTCAATATTTTGAAAATGTTGGCAAAAAGTTCCCAAAAAATTCGGGGATAAAGATATAGAAAATTTAGGTGAATTTTCGATAACTTTTAAAATTTAACTGAAGACATTTTCTTATAGATTTCAATTTCCAGAAGTCGGTTTCAGGCTCTTTTCTTGGACAGCTCCTATTGTTTTTCAAGGATCCGTTGAAATATTGCAATTTTTTGAATTTTGAAATTATTATTATTTTCAGATCGGATATTTTTTATTTGTTATTTTTATCTTGCACCAGGAGCTACGTTTTTGGAATCAGAACAACGGAATCTATATCCGACGATTTTTTGGGATTTTTTTGCCAACATTTTCAAATCCAAAATTTTTCAATATGAAAATTTAGGTAAATTTTCGACAATTGTCGAAATTTAACTGAACACATTTTCTTACAAATTTCAACCTCCAGAAGTTGGTTTCAGACATATTTCTTGGATAGCTCCAATTGTTTTGCCAGGATCCTTTGAAATATTGCAATTTTTGTTGAACTTTAAAAACAAATTATTTTCAAATCGAATATTTTTTAATCTTGCACCAGAAGCATAAACACCCTATGTTTTTGGAATCACAACGGGATATATATCCCAGAATTTTTTGGGATTTTTTTTACATTTTCAAATGCAAAATTTTTCGAAATTATGAAAATTTAGGTGAATTTTCGAAAACTTTCGAAATTTAACTGAAGACATTTTCTTATAGATTTCAACCTCCAGAATGGGTTTCAGACTCATTTCTCGGTCAACTCATCTTGTTTTTACGGGAGCCTTTGAAATTTTGCAATTTTTTGAATTTTATAAACAATTTTTTTTGGATCGAATATTTTTTAATCTTGCACCAGAAGCATAAAAACGCTGTTTTTGGAATTAAAACAACGAAATCTATATCCCAGAATTTTTTGCCAACATTTTCAAAAGCAAAATTCTTCAATGCATATTATGAAAATGTATGTGAATTTCTGACAATTCTCAAAATTTAACGAAAAACATTTTCTTCTAGATTTCGCCTCCTAGAAGACCTTGACCCATTTCCTCGATACCTCTTACCATTTTTCCAAAATCGCCCACTGAAAATATTTTTTTTCTTTTAATTTTAAAAACAAATTATTTTGAGACCGAATTTTCTTTAATTTTGCATCGGGAACATAAACACTCTTTGTTTTTGGAATCAGGATGGCCAAATCTATATCCCAGAATGTTTTGGAATTTTTTGGCGACATTTTCAGGACCAAATTTTTCCCCTATGAAAATGTTGCCCAATTTTTGACAATTTTCAAAATTTAACAAAAGACATTTTCTTATAGATTTCGACTCTAGAAGTTAGTTTCGGATTCATTTCTTGGATAGCTCCTATTGTTTTTCCAGATACTTTGAGATTTGCAATTTTTTGAATTTTAAAAACAATTCTTGCACCGATAGCATAAACACGATATATTTTTAGAATCAGCACGAGAAAATCTATATCCCAGAATTTTTCGGATTTTTTTGGCAACTTTCAAAAGCAAAATTTATGGCCAATTTTCGACATTTTTCAAAATTTGACGAAAAATATTTTCTGATACATTTCGACCCCTAGAAGTTAGTCCCTGGGTGATTTCCTCGATAGCTCTTATCATTTCATCAAAATCCCTCACTGAAATATTGCATTTTTTTTTTTAAACAAATTATTTTGAGACCGAATATTATTTAATTTTGCACCATGAGCATAACCACCTAGGTTTTTGGAATCAGCATGGCGAAATCTATATCCCAGAATTTTAGGGAATATTTTGGCGACATTTTCAAAGGCAAAATTTTTCAAAATTATGAAAATTTTGGTGAATTTTCGACAATTTTCGAAATTTAATTGAAGACATTTTCTTATAGATTTCAACTTCAAGAAGTTGGTTTCAGACTCATTTTTCTTTGACAACTTATATCATTTTTCCTAAACTGCCCACTGAAATAGTGCAATTTTTTTAAATTTTAGTAACAAATTATTTTCAAAACGTATATTTTTTAATCTTGCACAAGAAGCATAAACACAGTACATATGTTCTTGGAATCACAAGACGAAATCTGTATCCCAGAGTTTTTTCGGATTTTTTTTTGGCAACTTTTCCAAAATCAAAAATTATGAAAAATTCAAGCAATTTTCGACATTTTTCAAAATTTAACTAAAAATATTTTCTGATACATTTCGACCCCTAGAAGTTAATTCCTTAGTCATTGCCTCGATAACTCTTGTCATTTCATCTGAATCGCTCACTGAAATATTGCATTTTTTTTTAAATTTTAAAAACAAATTATTTTGAGACCGAATATTTTTTAATCTTACTCGTGAGCATAACCACCTAGGTTTTTGGAATCAACACGGCGAAATTTATATCCCAGATTTTTTTGGGAATTTTTTGGCGACATTTTTGAAGGCAAAATTTTTCAAAATTATGAAAATTTTGGTGAATTTTCTACAATTTTCGAAATTTAATTGAAGATATTTTCTTATAGATTTCAACCTCAAGAAGCTGGTTTCAGATTCATTTTCTTTTGACAACTTATATCATTTTTCCAAAACTGCCCACTGAAATATTGCATTTTTTTTTAAATTTTAGTAACAAATTATTTTCATTCAAAACGTATATTTTTTAATCTTGTATTGGGGGCATAACGACGATATGATTTAGACCACAATGAAATCTGTATCCTAGAATTTTTTCGGACTTTTTTGGCAACTTTTTCAAAAATCAAAATAAAAAATTATGAAAGTTTCGACCAATTTTCGGCATTTTTCAAAATATAACGAACGACATTTTCTGATAGATTTTGAGCCATAGAAGTTAGTCCCTTAGTCATTTCCTCTATAGCTGTTGTCATTTTTCCAGAATCGCCGCATTTTTTTGTTTTAATTTGAAAGAGAAATTATTTTGAGATGGAATATATTTTGATCTTGCACCGGGAACATAAGCACGATATGCTTTTGAGATTAGCATGGCGAAATCTAGGTCCTCGAATGTTTTGGGAATTTTTTGGCATTTTCAAAACCAAATTTTTTACTTATGAACATTTTGACCAATTTTAGACAATTTTTAAAATTTAACAAAAGACATTTTCTTACACATTACAGCTCTAAAAGTTGGTTTCGGACTCATTTTTTCAATAGCAGGTGTAATTTTACAGTATATAATGTATGAATTATTTCAAATTGTCAATATCCATCAGTTTTCTCTATTGCTCACTAGATCAGGTTGATCTGTTAATAACAAAATACTACTTCCCATCTAAAATCTGCCTGTAATAAATTTACTCAGTTATTGTAAAAAATCACTATGTATATATGTATATTATCTCATAAAATTGTCGTTTCGAATTCAAAACTTTCTAACCAGAATATTTTAGTCCTTGTCAATTTTATTCTATCAACCTAAATGTTTATGGGATTATGGAAACCCGCAAAGAGGAGGCGGAGAAGCCTAGTACCTATATGTCTTTTTTTAATCATAGTAAGACTATCCATTTGAATATAATTCATGTAATGTGACACCATATAAAAATTATTTAGTTTTAAGTAAACATCGGGCGCCAGATCTTAGTTGGCCATGAAACGTTAATTATACAGCGTCATCTGTCGCCCAGTGTGGCGCTCGCCCGTCGGCCCGCCCTCTAGCGTCTAAACTACGAAGCATTTATTAAACCTGAAAGCTTAATAACTTCGTAATGACGGCAAAACAACTTCGTATGAATTGTAAATTCCGAGCTTCAGTTCCGAGGAGTGCAACGCAGAAAAAACCAGTCGCGGCCATAAATAATAACCTTAACGCTTAATATAATTCTTCTCACCTAAGTTTATGGTTCGAACAACATCCCATAATAAAAAATCAAAGCGAATCGGCTTGTCGGTACTATAATCAATTCCGCGGCGAGATCCTTGACATCAAACATTTACATTTTAATAGAATTTTATATCCATCCATAAATACTTCCATATTTTCATAATTTCGCAAAATGAATGCCAAATGGGAAATTAAACTCATCCTCTTCCAACGACACTAAATTAAAATTAATATGAAACGATGAAATACGACTTGTTGACGGCTTCCTCCCACGTGGAATGAAAAAGCGGATGTCTCGGAAACGCGACAATAAGTGAGCAATAACGTTTATTACGGGTTCGAGTTAGAGATGAAAACGCATCGCAAATGCAACGCCGCTGTTCAATTCGGTTATTTAGGTCATGCGGCTTTGTAATTTCGAGATGTACTTTCTTGTTAGACGAGTAGTGGTGACGACGTCTTCCTACAGCCGTTTTACATTTTAATAAAGCAGCGAATGCATTTGGTTCGCTCGTTTATTGCAGCTCGTGTTTATGTCTCAAGCTGGGAACTGCATTACGTAAAAATGGGGGAAGAATGCATTAAATTTTATGCGAAGCGTAAAACACTTACGCCACAATTAACAAAAAACACGACACGAATTATGCATTCAAAAGAGACGCGACGATGTCTAGCGTCTCTTTTAAATTCATCTAAAGTCTTAAGTATTAGTATGTTAAAATTGAAACTACGTACTTTAATACTTACGTGCCCCATGTCTTTCTCCTCTTTCTTCGGTTTCTTGTGTTCAGATTCTTGAGGCGTTCGAGGTCTGTATTTTTCCCGCTCGGCGGGAGATATCGAGTTTCTCTGCAAAAATTAATGAAATAATTAAAGCGCGAAGTTTGCTAAAGCGATGAGGTTTCGCATTATATAGGCGGAAGAGCAAATCAAAATTCAAGGGGGCGCTTATTCGATAAATATTGTCTTTGACAAAGCGATGCAGTAAACTCTAGACTCTAAAGCTAACGATTTATAAATTATACTCTACAACATTACATGTCACGTTGACGTGGTAATCAATAAATGATGATAGTTCAGTTTTACGACAGACTGTAAGTCAAGCAAAAAGATCAATTGATCCGTTATAAATCAGTCAATGCTAACATTAATAAAATAAGTAGAGAGCAAGTTCAATCGGTTTATTGTCGGAAACAAATTACAACTATTATGAAAACACAGATGTCGTTATTAGTTATTTATGAAGTTTATTTTTTCAACGGGGTTTTTATTATAGCCTTCAGGATGTTTTTAGACAAAGGTGGAAATCTAATAATTTGGTTCATCAAATGATATTTATCATATTAGGTTAGAAAATCTGACAAAAACCGTAAAATCTGAATTTTCTATACTCCTAAGCAGATGTTTCTTGCGAAGGTCACATTTAATCTTTCCGGTACTACAAAGAAAGATAATCCTACCCGAGTTTTGGGTAAAAGGGTCCCCGAGAACTCCGTTAGCAAAATGCTCTACTTCAATTTGATTGTCCATTGCCTCCAGAACCTGTTCTGACAAGATGGGATTCTTGGATTAATGAAATTAAACATTTTTAGGTTATTATGGAATCTGACTCCACAGTGTCGAAATGCTCAACACTATTTCCAAAAAAAACACGTGGGATTTCAAAATTATATCATAGTTTTAAAAAAAGACATCAGGGTCCTTCAAGATTTACATTTTTAAAATAATACAAACGGTTCTTAAGACACTTCCAAACTACTTCAAAAATAAGGCATTAGGAGCCTTCAAGGTTCATTGAAATTGTTTCAAAAACTAAACACAAAAGAGTTCCAAGACTCTTTCGTATTCTTTAACAAGAAAAATGTACTAGAAGCCCTCAAGATTATTTCAAACTTTTAAAAAAACATCAGAAACCCCAAGATTCTATTATATTTTTTACAAAGAAAAATACCCTAGAGGTCGTTCATATTTTTCCGTCTTGAGAACTTTTCGAATTCTTTGAAAAATAATAAAATAATAATAATAATAATAATAAAAAGATCAGGAGCCCCCTAGATTCTTTTCCATTCTTATACAAATACACTAGGGACTAGGGATTGTTTCATATTTTTTAAAAATTCAAAGACACCAGAACCTCCTAGATTGTTCCACGTTAAAAAAATCTTTTCAACTCTTTCAAAAATAAACATTAGAAGCTTTCAAACTATTAAAAAAAAAGACAAAAGAAGCACACAAGGCCCTCCCTCTTACATTGATAAAAAATAAGTCAGATTTTTTTAAATTCTTTCAAAAGCAAAACATAAGGGTCTTCAAAAATTAATTGGTATAAAAAAACACACTAGAGACCCCGGAGACTCTTCCACACTCTTTAAAAAACAAAATACACAGGTTTTTTCAGTTTTTTTTTTAATTAAAATAATATTTTAAATGTAGAAGTTTTTCGATTCTGAAGATATGAATTTTCCAGTTTTTCGATTTTTTAGTTCGTCTATTTTTAATGTTTTAATATGAAATTTTTCGAGTTTTCGTCCTTAAATTTGTCTATTTTACCATTTTGCAATTTTTTGACTTTTCAACTACTCAATTTTTAATTTTAATTTTTCTATTTTTTAGGTTTTTTCAATTATTTTGCAATTTTTTCGGTTTTTAGTTTTCTGTTTTTGTATTGGAATTTTTGTAGATCTATTTTAAATATTTCAATTTTTACTTTTTCGATTTTTCAATTTCTCGTTTCTCCAATCTTTCGATTTTTCGGTTTCTGAATTTAGTTTTTGATTTTTCTAGTTTTAATTAAATGTTTCAATTATTCCTTGTTCAACCTTTGTATTTTTCGATTTATGTATTAATTCTTTGATTTTAAATTTTTCAATTTTGCAATTTCGCAATTTTAATTTTTCGATTTTTGAGATTTTTCATCAATTAATGCATTTTTCGACTTTCCTTCGCAATTTCTCCTGTTTACAATTTTTATAATTTTTCATTTTTGATTTTTTCAGTTTTCCGATTCTTAGTTTCTCGATTTTTTTATTTTACAATTTCCTAATGATTCGGAATTTTTCAGATTTTTGACTTCACAGTTTTTCGGTTCTTACATACAACCAAACACCAGAGGCCATCGAGTTTTTAATTTTTTTTTTTAATTCAAACAAAGCTCATGAAGTTCCAAAGATGATTTCAAAAATACGACGTAATTAGCCCAAACTTTATTCAAACTCTTTCAAAAATAAAACACCAACAGTCTTTTAGTTGTTAAAAAACAAAAACACTAGGTATGTTCAATATTTTGCAAATTTTTTCAAAAACAACAGAGAATTTTTCAAATTCAAAGCAAAGTCAGTGAGCTTTGAAGATTCTTTCAATTTTTTGAAATCAAAACACTGGGGGTCTCCGAGATTTTTTCAAATTCTTTCAAAAGCCAAACACCAGAGCCTACCGAAAATTTTTAAAAATTAAATTTTTTAGGAGCTTTAAATATTCTTTCAAACTTTTTCAAAAACAAAACCATTTTGGAATTTTCCGACTTTTCAATTACTCAATTTTTAATTTTTCGATTTTTTACATTTATTGTAGTTTTCCATTTTAAATGTTTAAATTTTTCCATTTTCAACAGTTGAATGTTTCATTTTTTAAACTTCTCAGTTTTTGAATTTTTACTTTCTCGATTTTTCAATTTTTCGTTTCTTCAATCTTTCGATTCTTCGGTTTCTGAATTTAATTTTTCGATTTTTCAATTATGTTGCAATTTTTCCTTTTTACACTTTTCAAATATTTTCATTTTTGGTTTTTCATTTTCTCGATTTTTATTTTGCAATTTTCCTAGTTTTACTTAAATGTTTCAATTATTCGATGTTCAACTTTTGCATTCTTCGATTTATTAGTTCGTTAATTTAAATTTTTTCAATTTCGCAATTTTAATTTTTCGGTTTCATTTTTGATTTTTTCAGTTTTTCGATTTTTTTATTTTACAATTTTCTAATGCTTCTAAATTTCCCCGATTTTTAACTTCACCGTTTTTCGCTTCTTACTGCTTCGATTTTTCGATATGGAATTGGATTTCAAATCCAAATAAAAGCTCCACAGATTCTTTCAAACTCTTTCAAGAACAAGAAACTAGCTGTCCCTGAGATTTTTTTAAATTCGTTTAACAATTCAACATAATTTGCCTCTCATTTTTTACCAACTTTTTCAAAAACCAAACACCAGAGGTCATCAAGTTTTTCATTTTTTTTTTTAATTCAAATAAAGTTCAAGGGGTTCCAAAGATTGTTTAAAATCTTTCAAAAACAAAACATCAGGGGCCCCCTAGATGTTTTCAAATTATTTCAAAAATATGACATAATTAGCCCCAACTTTATTCAAACTCTTTCAAAAATAAAACACTAGGGGTCTCCAAGGTTTTTTCAAGTTCTTTGAAAAATTCATCACAATTGGCCTGTAATCTTTTCAAACTCTTTCAAAAACAAAACACCCATAATAATCTTTTACTTATAAAAAAAGACATAGGTACGCTCAAAATTTTGCAAACTTTCCAAAAACACCAGAGAATTTTTCAAAATGAAGCCAAAGTCAATGAGCTCTAAATATTCTTTCAAACTCTTTCAAAAACAAAACCATTTTGCAATTTTTCGACTTTTCAATTACTCGACCTATAATTTTTAGTCATTTGATTTTTTAATTTTTTGTAGTTTTCAATTTTAAATGTTTAAAAGTTTCCATTTTCAATAAAATTTTTTAATATGTATTTACTTTTTCGATTTTTCAATTATATATTTTGAAATTTTTCTTTTTTATACTTTTCGAATATTTTCATTTTTAGTTTTTCAGTTTTTCGATTTTTATTTTGCAATTTTTCTGGTTTTAATTAAATCTTTCAATTATTCGATGTCCAACATTTGGATTTTTCGATTTATTAGTTCTTTAATTTTAACATTTTCAATTTTTCAATTTCGCAATCTTAATTTTTCAATTTTTGAGATTTTTCATCAATTAATGCATTTTTCGATTTTTCTTCTGCAATTTTTCCTGTTTATAATTTTTCATTTTTGATTTTTTCAGTTTTTTTTTTCATACTGCTTCGATTTTTTCAACATGGAACTGGATTTCAAATCCAAATAAAAGCACCAAAGATTCTTTCAAACTCTTTCATGAACAAGAAACTAGGTGTCCCTGATATTTTTTCAAATTCATGTAAAAATCCAACACAATTGACCTCTAATTTTTTTCAAAAACAAAATACTAGAGGTTCCCCAGATTTTTCCAAATTCTTTCAGACACCCAAGACCAGAGGCCATCAAGGGTTTTTTAAATTTATTTTTATTTTAATTCAAACAGAGTTCCAACTATTCAAAAACAAAACACCGGGGCCCTCGAGATTCAAATTTTTTCAAAAATATGACATAATTAGCCATAACTTTTTCAAACTCTTTCAAAAATAAAACACCAATTGTCTTTTACTTTTTCAAAAACACCACAGAATTTTTCAAATTCAAACAAAAGTCAGGGAGCTCTGAAGATTGATTCAATCTTTCAAAATCATAACATTAGGGGTCTTCTACATTTATTTAAAATGGGGTCTCTAGACGTAAAGAAAGTATTTCTTAAAGCTCATTTGACGATTGAAGCCTTCCAGGAGCCTTACCGGATTGTCCATTGCCTCCAGAACCTGTTCTGACAAGATGGGGTTCATGGATTGAAGCGGTTATCGATTTTTTGCGATCATTTTGACGATATAAAAAAAGTTCGATTATTGCTATTCATAGTTTTGTTATGTAATTCTAATTTAAATGAAACAGGGCGGAAATTTGAACTCTTTGGATCATCGTAAATATAAATAATAAAAATGTGCCATT